ACAGTGCCTAGTCCAGGGGTGTTCTTCCACCACAAAAAGGCTTTAAGGTAATGCACAAAAGGGTCACGATAACTGCAAGAAGGGAATGTAACCCACAGGGGTTGGTTGCTTGGGGCAGAGAAGAGGGAAGCTTCTTCTGTGGCCTTGTGCTGGGACAGCAGCAGTGCCCTGTGCAGCTGGTGCTGTGTTAATATGGATGGAGAATCAAGTTGGGAATATCCTGGAGTGTTTTCCCAGGCCAGGGGTTGTGGGGAAGGCACCACAGTGGTCTGCAGCTGAGAAACTTTCCTGTTTAATCAGGCTTTTAAGGTGCAGATATTGGCAGTTGAGAAGTTCTGCATCAGCCATCCCCACTCTGCACGGACAAACACACAGGTATTACATAGACATCTATAGGAACACTCATGTCCAATGTGCACCTCCTCTAACTAGGAAAAGCAAGGTATGACATGAGGTCTGAAACCCTGAAATCCCCATCAAAGAGGAAAAGAGAAGAGGAATATTACATAGACATCTATATGAACACTCATGTCCAATGTGCACCTCCTCTAACTAGGAAAAGCAGGGTATGGCACGAGGTCTGCAACCCTGAAATCCCCATCAAAGAGGAAAAGAGAAGGAAGAGGCACAAGCCTGCACATGGGAAAGGTCTGACCCAGCAGCAGAGACCACGATGGATCTGGGGCTCTGCATTAACTTGTCTCCCCAAATCCCTCCTGAGCCCCACAGAAAAGGGATGCTTGCACCAGCTTGTCCCTGAACCCACCAGTGAACCGACACTCAGGATGTTCCTACCTGAGCTGGGATTCAGGACCCAGAGAGCAAACCAGGGCATCAATTCCATCCTCGGGCAGTGCAGCCCCGCAGGATCACCCCTTGGCCCTTCCCTTGGCTCCTGGAGCCGCAGCCCCTGTCCTGCAGGACACGCCACGTGGTGCAGGACATTTCCTGCCAGTGGCTCGGCAAACCCCCGAAATCTCCCTGTCCTGCCAGGAGATTCCTCCCTAATACCCATTAAGCCGCTTGCAAATCCCTGGCTGAACATGGCTGCACAAGTTTAATAAAGCAAAAGACAGATGCCATCAATCATGTGGGCCCGCCACACATCTGGGGGAAATCCAGGGCCATTACTCTCCTTTCTTCTCCACACCTTCATGTCCCAGCAGTTGATATCCCACAGGACAACACTGCTGCCCTCCCAGGCATGCTGCCCCTCTCTGCTCCATCAATCCGGGGCCCATTCCCTGCTTCTGCTCCTGAGGCCCAAGGGCTAAAAGGGGCTTTACTCGCTGCCTGAGCTGTTTTCCTCTGGGCTGTGGGATTCCATCTTGCAGTCAAACATTTTGCTCTTTGAAATGAGCAGGGATGTCCCCACAAACAGCTGAGCATGAAGAAAGGACCTCATCCCTTGTGTTGGTTATGTAGGGAGAGAAGGACAGCAGGGAAGAGGCAGAGGATGAGGGCAGAGGCAGATCCTCACACCTTGCGTTGCACACTCTTATATTGGACATTGCCTCCTGCTTGGAAGCGGCGGGTGAGGGAGGATGAACCCTTCAGCAGGGCTCAACACGTACATTTTTGGTTTGGATTCAGATGATGGCACCTTCGCTCCCCATCTGGAACAAATCCACACCTTTACTCAACTGCTTCCATCAGGTGGGAGACAGCATTTACTGAGCAGATGTTCCCTTTAGAGGAGTCAGGACCTCACTGGTGTGTTTGAGCAACGCACACCCCCAGTACGCACTTCAAACACGGCTTTCCTTTAGCCCAGCAATACTCTGCTCTGCCTCAGACACAGAATCCCTAAGAGGAGCTCCTTCTCCTTGTTATTCCTTTTACAAACCCCTGCCTTTCTAAAACCTTTATCTAAGAACACGGGTTGCAGCTGATAACTCATCCTGGTGCAAAGGAGCTCACCTGCACATCCATCCTCCAGCAGACTCTGGCTTCTTCTTGCATTCGCAGCCCTGACAGCAAGGTGAGAAAAGTGTCACTGGCAGGTGAATTGATTCACTGATCCATTGATCTGCCCCAGCTTCCTTTCCAGTCCATCAGAGATAACACCTGAGGGTGACAAGGCCGTCTGTGTGTGGTTTTGGTGGGTGCTTGGGTGGGATTTTGGTGGGAGGCTCCATCCCAGCGGTGAAGACTGGTGAGGAGCCAGCGGTCACTTCGTTTGGGACAAATACTCTCAGCTGTGCTTATTTCTCCAGGTTCAGGTGGTGTCACCAGGAGGACACGGCCTCCTCAAGGTCCTTCCTGTCTCCAGGTGTGGCTGCTAGCACAGCTTGGGCACGGAAAAGCTGCCTGGGATAGGGAATGTGAATGTAAAGATCTTCATTAGCCTAAAATCAAACCAAGCCACATGGTCAGACAAGACACAACGTCCAAAGAGCCTCAAGGCCACGCCGAGGATGGCAATTAGCTCTACAGGACAATGGGCATTTCCCACTCCTGCTTCAAACCTGCTGGAAAGCAAGGATTCCACCTCTCCTCCTGCTACATCCCTGGGCTATGAGGGGAAATCCCTGTCTATTTGCTTGGTGTTGAGACCAGGAAAATAGCCCAGCAGGAGCCACTGCTTAACTGAAGCTCTCTGTTAAATAAAGTGGTCTTTAAGGGTTTAGTGAGGCTCTTTCCCCAGGTCCCCAGGGCTGTCAGCCCTCCCCTGGGTACCACAGCATTGCCCTGGCTGGAAGCTCTGAGTGATGCACAGTAGATGTGGCACAAAGTTCTGCCCAGGACTGAACACTGATGTGCCAAAGCCTCAATATGTGTCTATTTAAACCCAACCCCACTGCAGAGAGCTGCGGGGATTTGATGATCTGATCTTTTTATGCACACCTGTGCTTATGAACAGGATTTATTATTGACTAACACAGTGTCATGGGGCTGGAGTAATGCGCTGGGTTTACTTTGATTTTGTCTCCATCAGCTTCAGAGGGAGCTGAACATGTTAGAGCTGCACAGTTCACTGTCCACAGCTGAGGTGTCAGGGTCCTGGGGTCCCCTTCCCAGCTCATGGAGGGTGGATTAGTGTATGGTTATAGGGCATGCAAAAGCCAAACCCTTCCCTCCACTCCATGAATGGCTTTGGATGGGATCTGGGACAAGTTGGCCAGTTTGGACGGGGCTTGGAGCAACCTGATCTGGTGGAAGGTGTCCCTCCCCATGGCAGGGGGTTGGAACTGGCTGAGCTTTAAGGTCCCTTCCAACCCAACCCAATCTGTGATCTATGATGTGCTCACAGCTTGTCCTCCCTCATCTTCCTTATGGTGACCCTTCCACCCCAAGGCCCCATCTCACCCCTTCGGCTCACACCACAGGACCAAGTACCAGAGGATGCATCAAAGGAAAGCCCCAGGGAACCCGTTCCATCTGCGGTGCTGCTCCCATTGGCGCAGGGAGGGAAGCGCCTGGGCTGGAGCCTGCGAAGGGCTGGGTTGATTCCGGCAGGAGCCGCGTGGTCCGGCCGGGCTCCGGCGCGGGACGCCCGCCAAGGCACACATGTGGGATAGATTAGCCACAGTGGCTTAGAGGGGCTTCTCTCGCTGCCACTCACCTATCGGCCGTGTGGCAGAGGGATGGCAGAAAGGTTTTCACAGCTGGAATAAATTGCAGGGAGGAGGAGGAGGAGGGGTTTGGGAGAGACAAAAAACAACATTGAAGTCAAGATGGAAGAAAGACAGTATTAGCGGAGGTAATGGAGAAAATATGTGTGTGTGCGAGAGGGAGGGTATTTTATTTACAGTCTGTTTGTTTGGTGTTGCCCACACACGGTGAAAGCTGGGCAATGGCTGGACTCCAAAACCCCAGCAGGCGCTTTGGCTTGGAGAGGGATGGAGGAACAGGGGGAAAGGAGGGAAGTACAGAAAGAAGGAGAAAGCGATGGGATTAGGAAAGGAGACAATCGAGTGGCACTTGTTTGGGCAGTGAAGGCATTTAGTGGATGCCTGCTCCCAGCAGGACCTCCCCAGCTGCCCTGGGACAAGGGGAGGGACAGGAGGAGGTGAGCAGTGGCTTTGCCACCCAGGAGCCCTGGCAGCCCTCGCTGACCACTGTGTGCAGCCCTGGGGGGAAAGAACGTGGAACTCCCCAGTGAAAGGTTTTATTCTTCACCCTCTCCCCCCTGCCCCATCTCATGAAATACTGGAATTAATATAATAACACACCTTAATAATATTATCCCTTGTTGAGTCCATAAAAGCCCCCCCTTGCATCACGGCATTTGAGAGACTATTAAGTTTTAAGGCCATAGTGAAGGAGAGAAGTCATTTCCATCTCTCTCTTATAGGCACTGGGGTTTATGGGCACTCGGGAGCTGGGATGGACAAGCTCCATGTACCAACACATGGAGGGCAGGGCCTGGGGTAGTGGTGACAGGTTCACAAGAGGCACCCACAGAAAGGGTCAATACTGGGTGAGCATCTGAGGGTTCTCTTTGTGATTTCCGTGTGCTGTTAGAATTCCAGGGCTTCTGCCCAAAGAGAAGTGTGGGTTTGCAGCACAAACCTGGGCGCAGAGGAGAACCTCCACTGCAAGGCAAAGCAGACTGAAAGCAAAGGGAGAGGTGCAAAGTGGTACCAGCCCCTCCGTGAGCGAAAGCCTGAGGAGAACCAAAGAGAATGATGGAAGGAAAAGGGAATGTAAAAATGTCCTCCCTTCGCAGCAGTATCACACTGATTTGAAGCCACTGCTTAGAACACAGAAGTGTTTCCTCCAGCTTTCTGCCCTGCTGAAGGCAGCAGAGCTGCTGGTGATATCCCCAAGGTAAGGAGCTCCCATTTACTTGGGCACCGAGGTCAGCATCAGCACTGGGATCTCGGGGTTCCAGTTTCCTCACCTCTGTTTGCTCATGAGAAATGGGTGTTTTTCCCTAAAGTTAATTCCACAAAGATCAGTGTTACAGAAACCCTCCACTGACCCCAAACCAAACAGCCTTCTGCTGGCAGCGTTGGGAGCGTGACCACTGCAGGCTCCAGAAAGCAGGAGGCCAATTAAAACCCACCCCTTTCACATTTATTATTATGTAAAATCTCCTGCTCTTTAGGGCAATCTCATGATTATGAAGGGGTCAGGGGAACTGATTTATGATTAGAGAGCTCTTGGCATTGGCAATATTGTATACGTTTTAATTTTGAACCTTAATAATCCATCCAATATGCAGCACTTGATCATGACACTCATTTCTCACGTATCACTTTCCAAGATTCCACACATCCACCTTCACCTCCGCTCTCACACACACATCCCCCTGTGCTGAGTCTCTGCCCAAAGTCAAACACAGCCCAACTTTGCCCTTTCAAATCAACCCTTCAAGAAAGCCCAGCAGGACACGGTGCTGGTGCCGGTGCTGGTACTGGTGCCGATGTCCATGCCCATGCTTTGCAGCATCTCATTCCCCTTCACAGACCAAAAGACCTCCTGCAGCAGCACAAAGCAGCTGGTGCTCTCACCAAGTGCATGTCTCTCCATAGATAGAGGGAAAACCAGGCATTTCCCTGGGTACTTTTGTGAAGTTTTCTCCTGAAAGGAAAAGAAGAAATCCCAACCTTGTTTCTGAAACCTTGTGTTTGTAAAGATGCGCTGCTGTTGCTCATTGCTGTTGATCACGGGGTGATCAGAAGCATCAAAGACCAGGTATTGCCAAGCCACGGTGTCCTGACATGAATCCTATTGTGACCTGTGTCCATAGGGGTGGAAGAAGGGGAAATTTGGGCTGGTGGATTAATACAGGGCTGAGGCATGGACCCGCTGCCATGGGAACCTCGAGCGGGGAGGATGCACGAGGTGGTTCCTGCACCCGGATGAGGTCTGCCCCGCTCCAGTGTGACAGGATTCCCTGTGACCGATCCCCTGGCCGGGTGCCCCCCTCTCCTCCTCCGAATCTCCCCTCTCCTTCTCCCCTCGAGGTGTTTATTTAATTGTTTTCCCTACTCCTCGGTGCCAGCGCTTCCCTGCCATTAAACCCTGCCACCCGCCTTCTGACTGCGTAATTTAAAGCTATAGTTAAATTATGACTTCTCTGAACCTGTTGTGGCACTGACGCATAACCCTAATTAAATGATCGCATCCATTCTAAAGCCAGTCTTTTCTCCCCTCAAACGTTAATTACAACATAAGAGGCTTTAATGGCTCGCCTCACCTCCAGCTCCTCGAAAGAAAGGTCATGCGATTAATTTTCGTCATTAATCTTTTCCCAATGTGGACATTGTGCTGTCACTGGAGCCTATTAAACCCCCTTTGTCCCCCTCCCCTTCTTCTCCCTTCTCCCCTTCTCCATTCCTCCCCCCACCCCGAAGTGAATGAGAGAGCAAGAATACTGAAGCTCCACTTTGGTTCTGGTGCTTTCCTGGGGCGAGCGGCGCTTGGGACAGTGGTGATGGACATCTCCTGCATCCCAGCATCACCCCGAGAGCGGGATGAGGGAGGGGATGCTGCACACAGGGCACAGTTTGGGGATGATGGGGCTCCCCTTGAGAGCTGCACAGAGCCATGGACACCTCCTTGGTGGTGGCGGCTGCAGAGCTTTGTGGGGGAAACTGCTGTACGGGCCTGTGGGTAGCAAAAGATGGAGGGTTTGAGCCTCAGGGGCACGGGGAGGGATGCAGTGAGGCTGCTGTGCCCCATCCAGGTGGGCAAGAGGCCAAGAGCAGAGCCCAGCACTGGGAAGAACCTCCCGGGCTCAAGGTTCAGGCCCCTTTCCAAAGGAAATGAGCATTTTCCTCACCTCCACAAACCCAGCTCCAGTGGCTCCATCCCCTGCCCCTCGGAGCAGGTCTGTGTGCAGGCTGCAGCAGGCGCGTGCTCCCGGGGAGCTGTGCTGGGAGCCGAGCACACGTTTGGCTAATTTGCAGTATTGTTTCAGCTGAAACGAGGGCCTGGATAATTCCCTTTGCTGCCGGTGACGCAATCGGGGAGCCAGTTACTGCACGGTGGGGGCCGGCACCGTTCCAAACGGCGCCTTCAGGCAGGAATCCACCTGGGATCAGCCACAGCTGAGTCCAACCCCACTGTGTCCCCGCACTCACGGCGTGCCCCAGTTTGGAGGGGCTGAGAGGGCTCCTGAAGGGTATGACCCACTTCCCAGCCCTCCCTCCAGCTCGCTGACATCCTTTCTTCCCATTCCCATGGGTGAGGACTCATGGGGGAAAATCCTGGAGTATTTTAATAAAGAGGAGACAGATGGTAGTCACCTCGCTGGGTAAATATGTTAGTGGGAAGCGGTCCAATACTGCGGTGATGAAAATAGAATGGAAGAGAGAGGAGATGATCCTAGTTTGACCAGGATCCTTCCCTCAACACCCCATTAACTGGTTCCTTTGCACCCTTCAGGGTCTCTCTGGATTTAGGCATCTACTGGTTCACATGCAGGGTTCAGATTCCCCCTGGCTTTGCTCGTGGCTGATCCCTGTCTCTTGCTCCAAGCCTGGGGGGAGCAGGGCAAGGCAAGCCGAGCGTGCTGCCAGTTGGTGGTAGCAAGGGCAGGGCAAACAGCTCGGGATGGGGCTGGCAAAATTCATCCATATCTGGGAGTCTGACCTCGGGTCCTTGCAAGCGCTGAGGCTGGGTGCCTGCTGCAGCCACACAACTAGAAATGTCTGCTCTGTGTGAGCCCTCTGGGCTGCTTCCCATAGGAATTTGGGATGGCAAAATTCCTGTAAATGGGTGGTGAACACACTGGAATGAGCAGACACAGCAATGTTCTTCCCTGGGATGAGACCCCTGTCCTGTGAAGCCCTTGGTGGGATGGTGCGATCCGAGCAAGGGTACCTTGGATGCACGGCCTTGGGCTTTGCTATCTCTGCAAGACCGGGATGGACAATGGAGTTAGAGGGAAAGAGGGGATGGCAAGTGAGAGAGCAGCAGCCCAAACTGGGGTGAATGACTCCAGTTCTGCTGAGGTCAATAGACCCAGACCCTTCCCACCCTAAATGATGTTAAATCACTTGAGAAGAGAACAGCAGCCAAAACGTCACCTCTGCACAAGCCTGACACACTCTGAGAATAATTAATACATTTCTGATTGCGACTTTATTGTTCGAGAGCCGATGGATAAAGCCTTCCACAGACTCCCGTGTGTCCATGCACCAGTTCAGTATCAGATCAGCTGCAGAAAGGAACTGTGGCCTCCATATACAGAGGTGAAAAGGGGATTTTGAGCCAGGGCTGGTTTTTGGTTGCAGATTCTCCCTGTGCATTTCTCTCACATGAAGGGCAGGGAGGGGAAGTTGTGTCAGTGAGCACAGGCCCTCCTTCAGGACATGCTGCAGTCACAGACGTGGCCAGTTAGTTGGTGATCTGTTCCTCATGGCTGGACAACAGCAGACCAAAGGAAGGTGACCACAGCAGGGTACTGTTCCCCTGTGGAAGTGCTGCCATGGCTGGGGCTCTCAGAACCGGTGGCAGAGGCAGGAATTGGCTCCCCCCATTCTTTGCATTGCAAAATGTCAGCCTGGAGACTCGTGTCCCGGTTTCTGCAGAGGCAGGTTTGTCACTGTAAAATCCACATCAGGATTTCTGACACCCCGGGTGCTGAGGCACTCTGCTCCTTGCAGCTTAGATGATCATAATGGTTCTTCCCAGATTTTAAAGCCAGTGAGTAGGAAAATGCAGCCCTAAGGTGGGCTCTGGTGTCCAGCCCTGCAGAGGCAGCGGTGCATAACCCAGCCAGGTCAGAGTCTCTCTGGACATCAAGGAACAACGATATATTTGGTATTATCCCTACACATTAACCACAGTTTGGGGATGAAGGCACACAGCAGGGCGATCCCATCTTCATGTTTCCTACCCAAACAAGCCCTGAACCCAAGCACAGCCATGAACCCCGGGATGAAAGCTGCGGAGACAAGACCCCGCTGGGCCCCTTCCAAGGCTCCACCACCAAACCAGTACTGCAGTGGGGCCATGGGCAGAGCCCCTCAGCCCCCAGCACCCGGCAGCAGCCGCCCCGGCTCGGACACCCTGGCTTTTTTTCACTCTTTGTCCCAAGGACATTGGGGACATCACGTCCGCAGCGCTCTGTGTAGCAGGATAATAATAATTAATAACCATTAGCAACAATAAGGATAATTCCGCGCCAGGCCGGGCCGCCTGTGCAGAGGAGACACTTTTTTTTTTCTCCTACTTTAATGAAAACAATGATTTGACTTTGAAGAAAGTGACTTTTTTTTTTTAAGTGGAAGCCGAGCCCCTGCCCCCCCCTTTTCTTTGCCCCCTCCCTCCTTTTTTTTTTTCTTAACTCTCCTTTTTTCTTTTTCTTTTAATACTCTGCGTTCTATCATGCAAATCCCCTTTCAAATTATGAGAGTATTAGAGCCATCAGCGGTAATGTCACCGCCACAAAATGAGAGCAGGGACTTAAGCACCTAACGAACAATGAAATGTGCGAGCCCTGGGACAGGACAATTAAGAACTGGGCTTAGCCAGCCAGGGAAATTTATTGCTATCAAATCCATATTTCTATTTTCCCCCTGAACAGTAACCTATTTGAATATGATTAAAGGGTTTCATTAGAGCTGAGAGAAAGGCCCGTGTCCCGCCGTTCCCTGTGAGCTCACAAACACGCGCTCTGCAGACCGCGCTTTGGGGAGGAGGAGGAGGAGGACAGGGAAGGAGGGGAGGAAGGAGGGAGACGTGCGAGGGATGGATGTCCGGGGTCACCGGCTCTGGAGAGGGATGAGGGTGTTTGCTGGGAGCTGGACCACTGGCATGGGCCTTGCCAAGAGCCAAGGTGCCCACAGATGGCTCTGGCTGTGCTGGAAAGCTCTGGAGAGGGAAGCCAGAGAGAAGCCATGGGGCAGGCACGAGCCGGGGCCTGGCATCTTATCCTCTGCTATGCTATTTATTTACTCACTATTCCCACACTGCAGTCTATTTATCACAAGAGCCAAGTCCCAGATCTCTTTTCAGCTGAACAGTATTTCCTGGCATTTGCAAGCTGCTGCAGAGACCCTGTCACTGGAGCAAACGCAGATCCAGGATGGCAGAAAGGAGAGGAAGGGAGCACAGGGGCAGGTTTGTCCAGCTTAGCAAATCTGGGAAAGATCTGAAAGAAAGAAAGAGAATAGGAGCATCCCCTCATGAACCACATTGAATCATCCAATACCTGTGCTCTTTGCCATTGATATTTTCATAGAATCACAGATCCCAGACTGGTTTGGGTTGGAAAGGACCTGAAACCTCATCCAGTTCCAACTCCTGCCACGGGCAGGGACCCCTTCCACTGGAGCAGCTTGCTCCAAGCCCCTGTGTCCAACCTGGCCTTGAGCACTGCCAAGGATGGGGCAGCCACAAAACTATTTTGCTTGTAATTAGTCCAGCGAGCACCACCACAAGGGTGGGTGATACTGTTCTGCTGTGATTTCTGGAAGGGTTTGGCTGTACAAGTGCATTTCCACCTTTCCAGGACAGTTTATCCCCAAGTCACTGCTCTGCCAAGGCACCTGCGGTCCCTGGCTGCCTCCTTCCCCAGTGCCTGCAGTACTGTCAGTTTAACACAGGTATTGTAACTCCAGACTTTCGAG